GTAGCTCACACAAAAATGTGCACAACTCGGTGAATTACAAAGATAACGAGTTTAATTTTGGCGTGGTGGTAGCTGACAGTCACTCACAAAACTTACCTTAAGTGCTGACAGATTATCACATGCGATTTAACATGATGTTTTTATACAGTTTAAGAAAAACGGCAACAACGCTGTCGTTTTTCATCATCAGCTGATCTCAGTGTAAAGCTCCGGCAGTAAAAGTGGTCAGTGATGTCCATTCCTTTAAGTGACTGATGTCATAGCTATGAGCAGCTGCGATATCAGAAAAACAAAAGCCGTAACTCTGAACACGACGAGACGAGAACGCTGCAACACGAGGCGGATGAAAACAACAGGATTAAAGTTTAAATGACTCATTTGCAAAGACAAGCAATAAACCCGTCTTCAGTCGTTATCTGTGTTCGAGGGCACAGAATGTAAAAACCCACCATGCATAATTTATCTGTTTTATATTAAAGTAATATATGCACGCTTCCTGTGTTTCCTAACGCCTGATGAGACTGGAGCACTTTTGTTGCTGCCGTGTGTTTGTGCAAAAACAGAAAGACGACTCGTAGCGTGTTCATTTGGACTTAACTTAAACTTTCTGCCCACCACCATGAAAGGAGGGCGATCATGTAACCGCTGGTGTCTGTGTGTTCACTTGTTTTGTCTCATGAACTGCTGGACTGGTTTTAATTAAACTCTCACAGAAATCATCTGATTTCAATCTACAGCTGATTCAAACGCAGATCAAGATGGCCGCCACAGATAATTGAACTCAGCGAACAAAACGACGGCTGCGATTCAGATGTTTTTACAGATTTTAGGCTAAAATTGGACGTGGCAGCGGTTGATTCGTTCACACTGTGGGACATCTTTGTTGAAAACTTTGACATTCAAGGCTATATGTGCCTTTTTGTTGCTGTGCCGCCTCATTTCGTCACGTTTAGGAGCCTATAAGTGTGAACGCTTATGAAGCATTTACACTACTGAAAGCCATTTTTCTTCCGTAGGCTTCTTTATTGTTCCACAATTTTTGAGCAATTTCAACAAATCATAAATCAAAACTTTCAGCTTGTTCAGGAGAACGGTGCAATGACTTTTGGTATTGGTGCAACTTTAGCTTTTTGAAATATTTAGCCTTTTTTTGCCATTTTTTTCTCATAGAAAATGAATTGAGCTCATTTTACAACCTTCGAATCTTTAGATGTGTTTACAACCTTTTACATTTTGTTTGGGTTCAGCTTCTTTCAGACTGCTTGTGAAAATTTAAGTTGTTTTTCAGCTACATTCAGCAGTTTTTAGCTGTTTGTGATCTTTTTACATTATTTTTGCTAACTACAACATTTTTGTGCTTCTTCTATACTTCTTTCAGCTAAATTCAGTTTGTTGTGCTCCTTTCAGCTTATTTCAGCAAGTTTCAGATTTTTCTGCTATTTCAGCTACTATTTATCTGTTTTTATGCTAATTTAATCTTTTTTTTAATCTAATTTCACATTTTTTGCACTTATTTCAACTTTTTTCAGCCTAATTCAGCAAAAATGTGTTATCTCCACTTCCTTCTGGTAATTTAAGCTTCTTTCTGGCTTTGTAGCTACTTTTCAGCTGTTGTTTGTTTTGTTTTTTGGTGAATTTCTGTGTTTTTACCGATAATTTACACATTTTTCTGCTTTTTTCTGCTTCCTTCAACGATTCAGTCTAATTGAGCAAACATGTTCTTTCTGCTTTATTTTGCTAATTTAAGCTTGTTCTGTATTTTCAGCTACATTTTTTTTGCTACATTTTTTTAGCTAATTTCAGCTGTTTCAAGTTTTTTGTGATACTTTCTGCTACTTTAAACCTAATTAACTTCTTTCTGCCATATTCAGCTTGTTATGCTCCCTTCAGGCTATTTCAGTTATTTCAGCTACTTTTGAGCCATTTTATGCTATTTTTAGCCTTTTCAGCTAATTGCTTAGCTCATTTCAGTATTTTCCACTTCCTTCTAGTAGGTTAAGCTTCTTTCTGCCTTTTCATGTACTTTTATCACAGCTAATTGCAGCATTTTTTAGCTAATTTCACATTTTTTGTGCTCATTGCTTATTTAAACATACAGCAAATATGCGTTCTTTTGGCTTTCTTCTGCTAATTTAGGCTTGTTCTTCCTTTTCAGCTAAAATTCAGCATGTTATTTTTTGTTATTTTTAGCTGTTTTTTCAGCAAGTTCTTCAGCAATAAGGAGTTACATTGCATTTTCACAGGAAATGCGTATTATTTTTGGTATTTTGATACTTTTTAAAAATTAAAGCTGTACTCAGATGAAAAAACTAAATGAACTCAGGTATTGATGTTTGTCCTGGTGGATCTTGCTGCTGTTTATTTGTGAAACACATAACTGTGAATACCTGTTGCATGATATAGCGTACTAAGGTCCTGTGGGAAATGTACAAACACATGGCAATCATTATACCCTACTTAGTACTCTGCTCAGTACATGAAATAGTGAGCAAGTAAACAGGTGAACATTCTGAACTCTGGTCAGGTGTGAAGGAAAAACGACTGGAATGGACAAGTAATCAAACTTCACGAAAAAAAACAGGCACAAAAAGGAAAATAGCATGAATAAGCCATGCTGAGGGATTAATAACTCTTGTTTGTGCCTCTTAATCAAATAAAAATGTTTACCTTCAACCACTGAGGCCTTAACGTTCCACATCTCTTTTATTTCCTCTTTTAGCTCTTGGTATTTCCTGTCAGGTTTTATGTGAGGGTGGTGCAGTGATGTTGCATGACTTTGGTTCAGTTTTTCAAACTCTAAACAACCTCGGCTACATAATGAGCATGAGCTGCCATGCTGGCTTACAACCTTGCCCCCTGATCAAGAAGGCCTGTGGCAGATGATGAGGAACCGGGACTTTCTGATGAGAACTGGACTATTGGAGCAAGACATACATGATCAAGGGCTGACAATTCATGTACTGTTTATGTATTATCACTATTTATGTGAATTTAGGGAAAATCATCCATCAGCTTCACCAGTCAGAGACAAGATACGAGTCGTGATACCTTCACTAGGTATCTAAGTCATTCCAACTTTTTTCCCCCAAACATTCACACACACAGACAATAGCTTTGTGGCCATATACACTATTGCTGTTTTACTTTATTTTAATAAACTCATCGTTGAAGCATTTCACAAAGTTTTGCTGTTGTTTTGGTGTCTTTTATCAAACCTACCTCACTACTGGGCTCAAAGGACCACCTTGGGTTGGACATTTTCACAGACTGTGATATTCTTGTAAAAATCAGAATTAGAGCATTTTCTACACGACAAACATACTGCAGGTGTGTTATGTAGAGGATTGTGGACCCACCTGTAAAATGATAGAAGTAAAAGCAAGTGTTTATAAAAACAGTAAAATGTTCAGCGACTTGACTTTTGCACTCTTTGAAGAAATAAACTCTACAAAACTATCCCCATTTTAATATAAATCCCTTACAGATTGATTAAGAAAGCATAATGGAATAACCATAAACACACCCTGTTTTTATTTCCCTCAGAAAAAGTTTATTATGAACTAGTTTCACTTTGGGAGGGGGTCAAGTTGGACCTGAGAAGGTATTTGGGCCTCGTGTCTACCTGTAAATAATTCCAAAGCTTCATCTCATCCTGCATCAATATTTAAGTGGTTCCCAGAGTAATAAAGTTAGGATTGATTAGAGGACGCGCCCCTGCTTTCGGACGCCTGAGGGGGGATGGAACCAATAAGAGAAGTAATTAGATGAAAAGGAGTGAGCGAGATGGAGGAGGACGGTACTTTTGTGCGTTTCCGTTTGCACTGAACACATTTATAGCAAAGATGAAGCAACACATGCGCTTTGGTGTAAAAGTAAAACTAGGACAATTAAATCAATTCATCTGACCATATCCACTGAAATGTAGAGATAATACATCCAGTCCATGCATGCAGTATTAATGAAATGTTTCTGTGAAGTACATGTACGCCATCTAGTGGTAAACCCTGGATCTGAGAAGTACTATTATTGTATACTGTATCCAGAACTATTATTGTATACAGATCTATTATTGTATACAGATCTATTATTGTATACTGTATACAGATCTATTATTGTATACAGATCTATTATTGTATACAGATCTATTATTGTATACTGTATCCAAAGCTATTATTGTATACAGATCTATTATTGTATACAGATCTATTATTGTATACTGTATACAGAGCTATTATTGTATACTGTATACAGAGCTATTATTGTATACAGATCTAT